CCTTGGTTTGAAACAATGAGAGGGCATAATATTATATAATAAACACTTTCAATGTAGGGCTATATTTGGTTTACTCAGCTAATTTACAATCTTAAGCTAATGTACAAAATAAACAATGCCCATGGTATATAGTTTGAGCGCTCAATATTCAAAGACAAAGTAAGGTTTAACATTTTTTCAGGACAACGTTTTAGTTACGAAGGAAGAGGCGGAGAGAAATTAAATTAAACTGCTGTCATTTAATTTACAAAGATCTGCATTATTGTGTTTAAGAGGAGCATTCAAAATGGCCTAGAAAATTCGGAATTATATATTATTCATGCATATATAATAGATACAAATATGTGCTTTTTGTGTTAAATAGCAGCTTCTGTCGGCCTTAATAAAGTATTAATGTTGAGTCACAGGAAACAGAATGCCCCTGCAGTGGTCTACGTAATATGCCTAAAATTACTTTTTCATCCAATTTAAATCTTTTTAGTAGCTAATTAAATAAATGGTATTAAAGAATAGAATATGTAATGAAGCATCCATCTTTACTCGAGTAAAATGGCATGCATATTTCATCCCATTCATTCCTATTAAATTCTATTCGGGAAACCGGAGACAAACCAGAAAAAAACTGAATCAAAGGCAGTTGAGGCAGCGGATGAGATCAAAGGCAGCGGATGAGATCAAATGAAAGTGACAGAAAGAATTAGAGCAGTTTGCAGTTGTCTCTGCAAGCGAGCACTGTGCGAATTTTGCCATTTGTCGTTCTTCTTTTATTGCGAATTGCCAAATCAAAAGAACGAACCTCACGAACGCGTGCTCCAGTCCGATTTTCGGTTCTGAAAGGCCAGATTCGCAGGCAAACAGTGCGCGCAAAGCAGGCTGGTTATTTCCCATTGTTCAACTGCCCCACACTCAAGTAACCACAAAGACTCACAGACGTTGCGAAAAAAATAGGACAGTGCATGCATCGATGCATGGCTTTACAATCACGCACATTTCGTTTTTCTTTGTTCAGAGTATCGAACCTTGTTTCGCGTGTTGGATTAAAAGCTGCTAGAATGCTCTTTTTGACGACCTTGCTCTCTTAGGGCTTTTTCCTTTTTGGCTTACCTTGCCTTAAATGGATGCAATGTACACTTATTTGCTTGAAAGGGTTCCTAAAATACTAATTAGAGACGTTACTGCACTGGCGCCGCTCATTAGTAATTAACTCGCAAATGACATGATATAGAAACAGTAAATATACAATTATGTCTATTTGAGCATGTTGTGTATACAACTATTTCAATTAAGGTTGTCCCCCGAGCAAAGCGAAAGGCTGCTGGGAATCGCTAATAAACTGAATGAATTTATTAGCGATTCCCAGCAGCCTTATAATTCGCGCTCGTATATTCGACTTTTCCGTTTTGCTCGGGGGACAAACTTAATTGAAATAGCTGTATGCTTATACCGATAATGAAGATTATCAAGCACTTCAGAAAACTTCCAGAAAATTGTTTAAAACATTAAGTTTGCATCCCTTTGGCTTTGATAAGCCTGGTTTCCACATGGTTGTAACGCGGTCGTAAAAATTGAGTAACGATCTTCATCAGCCGAATGACAACATTTTAGAACTGAAAATACGCGGAGTCATTATAACTAGAGAATACTTATGATTTACGTACATGCGGTCTAGAGGTATAAACTATTATATAAATTGGGCGTTGAGAAAGATCACGACTCTAATTTTACGACCATTACCGACCATACGGAAACCAAGGCAGCCTTTATAAGCATGTTGTAGCCATTAATCATATATGTCGTACATTATGACATATATGTACATGCGTCCCTTTGAGCCTTTACATACTAGATGAAATTGTGATCGTTTTAATTAATGAACTCAGCGAGTTTAAAAGCTAGGAACAACTTAAAATGAAAAGACACTCTTCGTCATAGTGTCCTGTTATGCTCAAGGTTTCACAGTATAGTAATTAGAGAGAATATTAATTTTATACTCGGAAGTCTTCGATTCTGAATTGAAGTTCAGTTATTGACAACTACTACAGCTGATCTTCATGGCCAGAAAACGTTGCTGGAGAGCTTCTTTTGAAATAGAAAGGAAATGCCACAATTAAAATGCTCTAGAAAATCGAAACTTATTTATTATTAATTTACTTTTATGCGGTCTCATATACAATGCAAATGTATGCTTCTTTTTCTTAAATTGTCACTTTAAAAGGTTTGCCCGCCTTACTAAAGTATTAATATTGCGTCATAAGAAACGAAACGCCATCTTGTCTGCATATGTTTTAAAATTACTTTTCTATAAAAGCCTTTTTTAGTAATTAAACGTCTGACACATTGCACGGCTTTTTTATACTCGAGTGAAAATGAATGCCGTGATGGATCGACATTGAGTATATTTCTATTCCATTCCGCGATTCTATTAGCTTCAACAATTTACATAGTTTGCCAATCGCAGTTTATATGATTTGACTGACGTTCTGCATGGTATTATAAATTACAAGTGTGATCACTGATCTGAAATTAGGGCGTGTAGTGTCCCGAATTCAACTGGCCAATCAGTGAAGCCAGAAAGTTTGCCGAATTAAACTAGCTACATTATCAAGCAAATTAATGCTGACTTTTCCTAATAGATATACCTTCCCACATCTCTTGAACTGTTGAGTGTTGTAGTGAGTTTTAGAAGCCAGTTAGTTTAAAGAGTTAGTGTCAGGGTCATGCATTGCGGGCTTTTGTTATTGTTTACAATTACATTTTACTCAAATACAACAAATAGCGATCAAAATACCTTGTTTGCTACATTTCTGATAAAAATCAGAGCAAGAATTATAAAAGGATGGTTTAAATATATGACGGATTGTAAAAACTTTCAAGTTCATCTAATCTATTCGTCCCAGCAGGGGTTTGAGCCCGCGAATTCCTGGTGTGACACTAATCCTTTAATTATAAACGTTTGATAATGAGACTTGTAGCAGCCATCTTGCTTTGACCCCATTCTATAGTTATTCACGGGCCAGTTAAAGGAGTAAGAGGGACCACTGTTGATAAATTTCTATTCAGACAATATTTAGTATCCTTTGCCACCGATAACCAGAAACTGTTAGAACTTCTTCTATTATGTCACTAACACTATGCACAGTAGATTTGTGGTGGTCGGACTAATATGGACGCCATGCATTGGCTTTATTATTTCGCATAGCGAACGCGCTGTGAGCTGTGCATGGCCAGTCCTATAGTTTTCGAATCAGTGGTTGTACGTGGCTCGAAGATCCGATCTCAGACCCATGCATACTTTCATAAAAACAAGACTATTTTATTTACATGTTCTATTACATAATATTTCCAAACATCACTACTAGATGATATAACACTATCTACAATGTTACCCGGCTCACGACCAGGCATATATAACATAGCCTAAAAGTTTATTTTGTTTTCTATACATTATCTATATTGACTATCTACATAACCTATAGGCACTAACCATAGGCGTACGGGACAGGGAGCCTATCAGTGTTGATCGGGTAGATTCTATGATTTTTTAAAAATCGGGCAATTTGCTATGGGGCCATTCACAAAGGATGTCCGAGCCGAGGGGGGGGAGGGGGGTTTGGAAAATCAGGACAAACTCGGACATAGGGGGGAGGGGGGGTTTTT